TGATTTTAACATCAATAGAGGAGTGAGACAAGGGGATCCATTGTCTCCAAAACTATTTATTGCAGTATTGGAATCAATTATAAATCAATTAGACTGGAAAAACTATGGCTTGTATATCAAAGGTGACTGCCTAAGTCATCTAAGGTTCGCAGATGACTTAGTACTGCTATCTGAAACCGGTGGTAACTTAGAGCGCATGATACAGTCATTACACGAAGCTAGCAGACAAGTCGGATTAGAAATTAATCTGAAAAAAACAAACATCATGACAAACAGTTGTAGAAGAACCATCTCACTAGAACACAAACCAATACTGTACGTGGAACAATATATCTACTTAGGAAAGCAGATAGCACTGGACAACAATAGCAATGAACTAGAGGTGGAGCGCAGAACAAGAATTACGTGGAATAAGTTCTGGAGTTACAGAGAAGTAATGAAAAGTAACATGCCAACAGAAGTGAAAAAGAAAATCATGGACACTTGTATATTGCCGTGTCTTACATACGGTTGCCAGACGTGGAAATTTACGCGTAACATTAAAAATAAATTAACAACGTGCCAGAGGGGAATGGAACGCAGCATGCTCAACATAAAAAAGACACACAGAGTGCGTCATACAAAGATAAGAAGCATAACCAAAACAGTGGACGCTCTCAAATATGCTCAAAGACTGAAGTTTAAGTGGGCTGGCCACGTAGCACGACTCAGGGATGGGAGATGGACATCGAAAGTAACTGCATGGGACGGTCCACAGGGCAAGCGGCGCGTCGGCAGACCGTACACGCGTTGGGAGGATGATATTAGAAAGGTTGCTGGACCGCACTGGATTTATGTTGCCAGAGACAAAGCAGAGTGGAAATCTTTGGAGGAGGCCTTTACCTGAGAGGGGTCCATACATATATTATATAAAGTAACTGTACAAAAAAAAAAAATTTTTAATTGCATGGAATAAAAGGCTTATTATTATTATTATAATAATGGCCGCTTAACCGTTGGCGTCTATAAAAACGAAATAAAATACTCGGATTCTGCCAGTCTTATTGAATTCACAGTAAAATTTCCAAAATTTTACCGCGTTCAACATCTACGGTGCTGCTTATTTCATCTCACACAATTCCATTTCATATTATTTTCAATTTAATTTCTACATTCAGTTCCATTTAGATTTTCATACAACAGACGTGGCTTCGTCCTTTATTACTAAATATCTTGGCTGAATGGGATGTGATAATTTTGCCCATTCTATGTACGAGGCAAACAAATAAAAAAAACTGTTATTAAAAAAAATTGTTGTTCTTTAAATCACTCTCAAACACTTAAAATCAATCACAACCTAGGATCGTTGCGTAACGGCTAGGCACTTGGAGCAAAAGAGCATAAATGAAAAAATTTTCTTGAAAAAAAAACTCCTTTTATTAAAAATAAAAAAAGGAAAATATTGTTGTAGGTAGGTATTCTTTTAACAAACATAATTTCATAACATTTAATACAAACAATAAATATATTATGTATGTAATTTTTGTAAAAGAACAAATATATGTAACGCTATCCGACAAAACTTAATTCAAATAAGGTATATTTTTATTTCAGTAAATTGTCATGTACCTATATATTATTATTATGAATCACATTATTACAACACATAAATATTTAAATACAAGATATTTTGTATATTTTTTTTTTTTACAAAAGCGAATCAATAAGGCGCTTTTATAAATAATCAGCTTCAAAAATCCTTTGTGCATAATTTCATTAAAGATTAGTTTTACGAATTTTATCTAAATCTAATAAGTATTCGAATAAAAAAGGTTTTTAAATATACAAAAAAAAATATACAAAATAATCGACAACACAATTAAACTTTGTCAGTCACACTCTAAACAAAAAATAAAATAAAAATATAAAACACATTACATGATAACACTTAATAACTTATTTTAATGAGAATTAACACCAGAGATTTCAGACTTTGTTCCGAGTGAATCAAAATAAACTGTATTAGCACCAAAGTGTTTTTTTACAAACAAATTCAAGACTTTTCTATATTATGCCTTTTTTTATATATATTTCTTTACAATTTCTATGTCTCTTCACATACCTACATAGTTTTAACTTGAGTTATTTTAACTTCATACATTTCTGCTCGTCCAAATAATTGTTTCACAAGCTATTGACGTTCGCTACAATGTATAAAAAAATGTTTAAGTAAATAAGAGATAAATATATATATTTTATTTTAAATGAATTAATTCGAGAAATAAATTGAAAAAAGTATGTATATGTAGCTCATACGAAGTAATAAAAATTATTGTATTTTAGGGGAAGGATGTGAGGGGAGAGGGGAGATAATTTTAATATTTCGATTACCTACGTGCTTCGTCACGGAAAATATAAGGAATAAAGTCTGAAATCCTTTAGTGTACGTACGTAAATATTATAAAACTATTATTTTTTTTGTAATATTCTTAGGAGTTGGTAATTTAAGGTAAGCTAAAGCGCGTGGATTCCGTTTGCTTTTATAAAATTGTATGGAAAAGACAATTTTTCCCTAGAACGATGTCAGGTGGTGTTGTTTCCAAACACGATAATTAAAAAAAATCGTAACCTAAAAACATTTGCAGGGCGCTCGATGTAAGATAAATTTAAATCAGATGACGGACGGGGTCAATGCCTTAATAGCCTCATGTTTTTTTTATGATTGAAGGTTTACTGGTGGCCTTTCCAGTTTCACCAGGACAGGTGGGCGAGCAAAGGCTCAGCCAGGAGGGGTGGGATTTGCTAACAGCTGCCCGAGCGCCTCCGAAGGAGACCTAACAACTCAAGAGCAGCTGCTTCGCGAATGAATCTACTACCGGATCGGAATCGCGACTCGCTGAGAAGATCCGGCGAGAAACACAGCGGGCTAATGTTTAGGTTAGGTTGCACGGTTACCGGGGTCCCTAAGCCTGCTCCGAGTGTTAGAGCTGAAGGCGTCTAATGCAAAGGTTATTAGATCTGATGGATCCGTAAGGACGTGAACTTCTTGTGTCGACCCGTGTTTAGTTTAGTTTGGGGATTCGCGTGACGTGAACTCTCCAAATGATTATCTTACCAATGGATGTCCTTAAATTTGATCGATATTACCAAACCGGATTCGAGTTTCGCATACACCACCTATTTACTAATTTACTGAAAATAATCAAGAAAATTCAATCACAATTATCAATCTCCCTCGGTTTCCACATTGGCAGCGGCTCGACGTATCCTAATAAGGCCGTATCATTACTTAGCTTAAAGAATTGCGTTCGCGCCTTGTCAAGAACATCTAGGATCTAAATACTCTCTTTACACCATAGAGTTAAGAAAGAAAACTTGTCAATTATAACGTTTGCCAACCGACAGTTCGAAGCAGGATTTAGTCGGCGTAAATTACTTATTTCAGTGTCGAAATAAATTGTACCAAAAAAAAACTGTGCCGATAATCGCATTGTAACACTGAAAACTAAAGGTCTAATCGAGGTGAATGAAATTCACGCGGCGTACTGAAGTAATTATTTAGGCGCCTGGATTGTCTAACTTTGCCTTAATTTGTTTGTTAATACATATATGTTTTAGTATTTTAGGTCTCTTAGAAATAGATTCATTCTCAGTATACTTCGGATTCGTATCTCCCAGAGTCTACTAAATATTCCGGCGCCTTAGTAAGAAGATAGAAGAGGATACATCGTCATAATTACATCAGGGCGCCGCGTAGGTCACCGGTGACATACATGACAGTCAACGTGCTAAATGTAAAAAAAAACAATGTGAGTTTTTTTTATCACGTTTCAAGTTTTTGCTCGCACCATCGGTCTAGTGTATCTGTGCCCGTTTTATTGGCGCGAAACAATATCGCCTGGAACATTCTCAAGCGGACAGTCGAATGAAAGTTAATTTAAATATTGTTCTAGAAATTTCTGAGATTGGATGCGTTCAAAATAAAAATATTTCAGCACATTCGTATTATCCGATAATTCAGCTTAATAAGTTATACATTTTTAGTGGAAAAGGCTTCGGCGATTACCTACTAGCGTTGTCTAATTCTAACCTCTATAACTGGTAACTTTGTAAGCGAACTCATATGGTAACATTTCGAACGGCTATATCACAAATTCTTATAAATTTGTAAAAAAAAAAAAACAAAAGCTGTAGCCAGCGTATATACTTTTAAGTATAATTAAATATATGTATATAATATATGGTTTTATTTATTTATTAAGTAAATATATTTATGGCGTCGTTTTGTGCATTTTTAATAAGCGTTTTTATTTATTTCATTTCTTCTTTCTCTTAATTACCAAATCACAACATTCTTATGTTCCTGTCGGCGTAAGGGGACGAGATGTAAGTCCTGAAAAAGAAATAAAAATCTAAACAAATACATCTAAAAATGTCAAAGAAAAAATTTACCAAAAATTGTATTCTACAGAATTTTTAATAATAAATTAAGAAAACAAACAACATCTTCATTCAAATCAATCTTTAAAAAAAAGGAAAAAAGCAGACATGGTTAATAAGATATTGAGCTTAAATTTCGTGAATGCATGAACGCTATCCTAAACTTGGGGAGAGTCTTTTTATTTGTTGTCAATGTCATTTACAGTGACCGTATGTAGGCCAGATGGTCATGCAAAATATTGTGTGATTATATTATATCTTCATCAGAGATCCTCGTATCGTGGGAATCAAGCATTGAGATTAAACTAAAGCTGCTTTCAGACTACGCTATAATATAATAACATATAGTATATAGCTCATAGCACAGCAATATCAGGCGCCATACATTGTTAAGGACACGTTCACACTGTACTGTATATTATTGGCTAACTATACGCTGCTATACTAATATGCCACTATAGTATAGCGTAGTCTGAAAGCAGCTTATTTATTACACAATCCGTACTTTCTACTATTTATTTTATGATTAAGGAAGCAAAAGGACGTTGATCTAAACAGACTCAGTCAGTAACTCAGTCTTTATTCTTCGCTTATTTGAGTACAAAAAAAAATGTTGAAAATATTAATGGTGGAACGTTTAACGAACATTTTAATTTTAATTTTATTTTTTTTATTTTTTTATTTCCGTATAAAATCCGTGTAAGCATTAGCTATTTTTGGCTCGGATTTGAGACTGACTGGAATACACTCTATATAGTCAGCAATGAAATTTAGCTAATTACAATAATACAGTTCTCTCTACGATCGATGCCAACAGTTCACCAAACATGTACAATCTCCTATAATTACTAACAAACATATCAACGAATATGCGAGTGTCGTGCAATATATTGGGCTTTATGGCTTTAAGAACAATCACACCATGCGATTATATAAAAAAAAACGTTTTTCCTATGGAGGATAGAAGTAAGGAGCACCATCTTAGTGTATTTTACTGTTGGTAAGACCTCTTGTGAGTTCACACGAGTAGATACCACCACCCCGCCTATTTCTGCCGTGAAGCAGTAATGCGTTTCGGTTTGAAGGGTGGGGCAGCCTTTGTAACGATACTGAGACCTTAGAACCTATATCTCAAGGTGGCGGCATTTACGTTGTAGATGTCTTTGGGCTCCTGTAATCGCTTAACACCAGGTGGGCCGTGAACTCGTCCACCCAACTATGCAATAAAAATAAAGTATTAACAAGTGTCCGCTGTAAACAAGCCAAATAAGATGGCGCCACAGTAGCCAGTAGAAGGATTTTTAAAACCTCGCCATAAGCTACAACACTATTTACAACTGCTATATTCATATCATTTCCAGTTCCTACACTAGCGTTATCTCGGTGAGTCTACGAACAATAGCTTGCTGTTTACAGGTGGACACTTTTTTCAAGATGTTCCTTTTTACTTCTAACCTCCATAGATAACACTAATTTTGACAGTTTTCAAACTTGACATCAATTTTTTTTTTAGTTTATGGCCTGGTGTCTAGACCTTTAGGCCATTTGACATCAATATAGTTAGGGATATCACAGAGTACCTTTAACTCCTTTCAAATATGATATCGTATCGGAAAGCGAATGTTTTGTTACGAAATATTTCACAGTGCAATGTTGCGTGAGCATAACGTGCGTCAAGAAGTAATAATCACATTATTCAGTACTGCAATCAATTTGAATCTTGGAGTGCGATTATATAGCGGCGGCATTATGTGATGAGTTACAACGTTTTTAATAGAGCAAGCGAAAATAATCACACAAAAAATATATATACAGTAGGTATATATACAAGACAACATCGACTACAAACTTTAATACTACGAAAGAACCTGCTCTGTGGGAATCGCTCATTTTAATCTTGCAGTCTTCTCGCTTAGTTCGACTATTCAGTTAGCACGGGGAGCATGGATCTATAATTTAAAAAAAATATACGATAATTATCATCCATCATTCATTTTAAAAAGTATAATGTTGCCATCTTTCACGTTTACAAAAAAAATTGTGTGTATCTACCAAAAAATTGGTTGAATTAGTACAAACATTTCTATAACGAAAACTATGTTTTTTTTTTAATTTCAAAATAACCGTTTTTTTATTAATAAACTATGATAATAATATATTAATATGATATAATGTAATATGATTTTTTTATTATTATAATAATTTAACATAAATCATGCTAAATTATTATAGATAAATAATAATAAATAAATTATAATTATATCAAAATAAATTATTAAATATAATATGATTATAATTGCCTAAATGTAAATAGCTTTATTATATAATTATACCAAGAAACGTTAAGGCAAAATCAGATTACACATTACCAACCATGGATATTTACCATATATTTATATAGAAACAATTTACAATATATGTTTTTTAATGATTTTAACCAATCAATTAGTAAGTAACAAATTACGGTTAGGTATACTATATGTATGGAACCAGTAAATGTGGTACGTTCATTCAAAATACAACCGTGTGAAAGAAGCATACTCTTTCTAAAACATAGTGAACACAATTGATCTAGAATATATTATTAAAAAAAAAGTGCATGCCTAATTTTGAATTTCCTTACAAAACATACAACACTAACTGCTGTCATTTGAAATAGCAACATTAGAGTTACCACATAATGAAAAATTCTCGAATTGTTTGTATAAAGATATAATTGCCATATTTATTTTATTAAGTACTCATAAATGATAGTGATTGTGAAATTATAGTGAAATGATTCAACTCGAATATGAATGCGTATTTACGAAGCAGAGAAAGGCAATTAAAGTGACAAAAGAAATACGATTTTTGGCTTTTTTTTATTCTGTTTTTTTTTTTTAATTCTTAGTAAATGAAAACTAGACATCGTATGAGTAGTAGATAGAAGCAACCATTCATATTTATTCCGTGAAGCAGTCAATATTTCCAGTTGCAAAGTAAATTTTATAGCCACTATTACGACTATTGCCAGTTCTTGTCTTACCGAACCTTTCGGTAACCCCTTAACCCCAGGGGGTCCGTGAGCTGACGAATATAAAAAATAATGAACATTTCCTTTTTTTTTTAAATCAGATTATCGACTTAATCACACGCACAACATTTTTTAGGGGCATTAACGACTTAATTCATTTCTACCGGCAAGTCACGTGACTGATACTGCGTAATCACTACCTGAAGAGATCATTCTTTGCGATAAGACCGCCCATTGTACTTTTGTATTTAACCTTTTGTATTTGAGTTAATTCTGGTGTACAATAGAATCTCCATATTGCTGTTTGTTCTTTACCAAAAAGTTTAATATCTGTATACTTAAATATATTTTAACTTATATAATTATATATCTAGTCTCTAATTCCTATAGCACAGGGAATCCTAGTTTGCGACCGGTTGACCGGGTATGACTTGTTTCCGATTATTATCACTACTTTATTCGATTAGCCTAGCATAGGGACTTTTTGGTGGGAACGCGAGGAGTGAAATTGTGTGATTTGTTTTATATCGTCTATTTAGTGTTTCTTCAGGCTTAAATGCGTAATAGCGATGGTTTATTAACATTAGTCAGCTTCAAGTAATAAGATTTTTTAATTCGCCGTTTTAATTATTTACATTTTATGAATAATAAAAAAAAAGGAAACTAATCGCGATATAGCATAAATGACTAAAAATCAATTAAATTTCCAAAAAAAATTACATGGCATGAAATGATTCGCGTTTCCGCCAAAAAGTCCCACAAATTTTTTTTAAGTGATTTTATGACCTGGTAACTAAGAGACCTTTAAATCATGTCTTATTTTAATTTATTTTCTTATTTTTATGAAAAATGATGAAATTAAATGAAGATGATTAATTTGAGACATAAATCAACTGGGATGAAATCAAATGAGATGATATGTTAAGGGATGAAATATAATCTCAGTAAAATGTTGGTCATATACTGAGACTTTTTCATTGGACTTTTTAGAGGATCCCGAGAAGTCACGTCCAGCGGCTTTGTTTCATTTTCCCACATTTGTGCACTTTCACAGATATTAAACAGTTAATAAACCACCGTTATTACACATTTAAACCTGAAGAAACACGAAATAGACAAAATAAAACAAATAACACAACTTCACTCCTCGCGTTCCCGCCAAAAATTCCCAGTCCCAATAAAGAAGAAGAACCTAGCATAGATTAACATTGCATGGTCATAGATTAAGCCCATATACGTACTCAATGGCAGATACTAATTGATACTTATCTGTGAAGACACTACACTCACAATCTCTACATACTATACTTTACTTTATCTTATTGCTCATTAATAACACGGATGTACTTGCCCGTATTTGTCACACCACGCGTATGTGTAAAGTAAAATGAAGTCTAATTTAAAACGCAGCAAATAAACAAAGAAAATTATAAAGCATTTAACATTGCAATGAAATCGTTATTATTCTAAACGACGAGCACTAGAAATATGTAATGATATACCTTCCGCTTCCAAAGCTATGGGAATGGGACCTTGGGCAGCATTGAAAACAAAAAGTCTCATTACAAAGCGTTTTAGCGATAAATAAAACTAATCGATAGAGAAATATCGATATTATATTTGTGCGGCAATTTTTTTTTGTGATTTTACTGTAAAATAGCTCTTAATCGTTTGATACTGTAAGTTGAAGATGCGTTGTCGTGTATCTAATATTCAGAGGTATATATTTTTAAGTTCAAACATGGCGACCCCAGTCAATACAGGCAAAGTTCTTTCTTTCTGCTTTAAGCAGCGATCATATGATCTAACGGTGAGTGGTCACCTTCACCCGTGGACATCAGCAATGCTATGGTCTACTACTGAAGTCTCCTCAAAATGCCTTAAATCGATTATCTTCTCAAGATACCCTCATGAAAGTCGACAGGTTATCAACAAAATGTGAATTTGTGTGAGAACTTGCCTTCAAGAGCCTCCCTACATATATACAGTGAGAGCTATATTTAGCGCGAATTCTAAAAAACCAAATCCAAATCTAAGTTTCGCGGCGAGAAGCCAAAAAGCCATTTTTTTTTAGCAATTTATTATGCATGTGAGTCTATATCTTTCCTTGCACATGCCACCCAAGGAACTGTTCTTTCAACAATATGATATAGTGGAATACACTTAGATATCTTGCGCATTATCTATGTGTTGGCATAATTAATCTTATAGATAGTATCAGCTTACTTGATGGCCTTATTAAGGTTTAACCTACACGGGAATAATCAGTCTCTGATGTAAAAATTAGAATGGGAATTAGTGAGAGAAGTGACTTGTAAAATTCACAATACAAATCCTCGAATCTAATTGCATTACGTAAACATTTACGAATATCCCTAATATTAGGAGAATATTTAGTTACGGCAACACTAAACCACTGTGTTGCCATTGAAAAGCATCGTACTCCCCGAAATCAGTGTTGTTGTGTATAAAAATGCAATGCAATTTAATTGATGCATCTAAAATTATTTTAATGGTCAAATTCTACTTACCAAATTTATTTTCATGTTTAGTTGTCGAGATGGGTTGTTAGTTTTATTAATAATATGGTACTTTATGAATTGTTTGGTTACTGTAGAAACTAAAAAAAGTTCAATTCGACATTGAAATGTGTTAGGAAATGGTGCTTGGGATATTTTTCGTTAAGTTTAATTAATATTTGATTTCGTAGTCATTTTGATGCCTATGCCTATCTTACCGTACTATCTCTAATTCTTAGTTATGTAACGAAAATTATTGTCGAAGCCTTACACAAACGAATTTTCGTATTGTCGTATGTATATACGGCTTCCGTAAATCGTAGACAAAATTAAAACTTCATTTACATTTATTATTTCAAACTACCGTCTAATTTATATTTAAAAAAAAAAACAATATTCATTGACATTTACGTTTCTATGCACGCAAATAAATAACAGATTAGTTGGTTCCAATATAAAATTGTTAACTGTTTTAATTGTGTGTGTGTTTGTTTTTGTGTTTTCCCTATATATCCGCTGGGAGCTTAAAACGCTGATATAGCCTCTCAAGGCTCTCAGCTTAGGTATGTAGGATGACAGAGACAGGTGTATGTCTGTCGGTTGGGGCGCACTCACAGCTCCATGTCGTGCACGGTGGAGGCGGGGCAGGCGGCGGCCGCGCGCACGTGGCAGTGCTTGTGGCAGCGCAGCCGGCAGTCGCGGCACTCGTAGCCCTGCTTGCCGAGCCGCCGCGCCACTGGCTTGTCGCACACGGCGCACACGGTGCCGCTACGAGGAACAACAGATAACAGCGAGCTGAGGATAGCTGTCGGACAACAGTCACGGCCCACATGAGCGGTTACGGGAGCCCGTAGACGTTTACAACGTAAATACCTTGAGATATGAGTTCTAAGGTCTCAGTTTTTACAGCACAACGACTGCCCCAGTCTTCAAACCGAAATGCGTTACTGATTCACGACAGAAATAGGCAGGGCGGTGGTACTTACACATGCGGACTCACAAGATATTTTTCTTTTTTTTTCTTTTTATTGGTTAGATGGGTGCACGAGCTCACAGCCCACCTGGTGTTAAGTGGTTACTGGAGCCCATAGACATCTACGACGTAAATGCGCTACCCACCTTGAGATATCAGTTCTAAGGTCTCATTATAATTACAACGGCTGCCCCGTCCTTCAAACCGAAATGCATTACTGCTTCACGACAGAAATAGGCAGGGCGGTGGTACCTACACGTGCGGACTCATAAGACGTCCTAGCACTAGTTCTTTCACAAAGGTGGGTTGAGCAAGGGCTCAGCCAGGAGGGGTAGGATTTGCTAACAACTGCCCGAGCGCCTCCGAAGGAGACCTAACAACTCAAGAGCGGCTGCTTTGCTAATGAATCTACTACCTACCACCTACCTACTACTACTGATGCATGGGTTAGGTTGCACGTCGAACTCTTTATCGAGTTCGACGAGTACGGTTAGCGGGGTCCCTAAGGCTGCTCCTAGTATTAGAGCTGAAGGCGTCTAGTGCAACGGTTATTGGATCGACATCGTGTGACGACCACGTCATATCGCCTGACGTTATTATCATTATTAAATTCACGACTTCGCTTCGATATCCTGATCAATATCGACAGGACAGAAAAAACAAACAAACAATTATCAATTGATAGTTTGATTTGCTGATTTGTTTAATTTTAATCGTTAAAACTACATACACAATTAGTTGAAGATAAGTTTTTTTGTTACTTCAATTCATTTCACGCATCTGTAATTCAGTGATGGTATATTACTATATTTTTTTATAGCAACACTGTGATAGTTTAAAATAAATGTTTTTTTTTTGTCGAATTAATATGGAGAGTAGAAATAAGGAGCACCATCTCAGTGTATTAAAAAGTGTCCACTGAAAGGGAGTCAATAAAGGTGGCGCCACAGTAGCAAGTGGAAAGATTTAAAAAACAGTGTCATAAAATATTAGAGTAGGATACTAAATTAACGATGGAAAGAAACACTTCCTACGTAAATAGTAATACAAATGAATATTTGATATTTTAAATACTGCACTTTTTATCTACACAAGTCACGAAAAATATTACTATTCAATCCAGCACACTTTACTCTGTTTAAAACTGCTATATTCATATCATTTCCACTTCCTAAACTAGCCCTATCTCGGTGAGTCTTCCAACAATGACTTAGATTGGTGGACGAGCTCACTGCCCTCCTGGTGTTAAGTGGTTACTGAAGCCCATAGATATCTACAAAGCAAATGCGCCACCCATCTTGAGATATAAGTTCTAAGATCTCAAGTATAGTTACAACGGCTGCTCCACCCTTCAAACCGAAACGCATTACTGCTTCGCGGCAGAAATACGCAGAGCGGTACCTACCCGCGCGGACTCACAAGAGGTCCTACCACCAGTAATTACGCAAATTATACGGTGGACACTTTTTCAACTTGTCCCCTATACAAGATGGTTCTCCTACTTCTATACTCCATAAGGATGAAGTTTAAACAGTAACTCACCCGCTCAGATGTTTGGCAATGAACGTGTGCTCATTGTAAATGTGCAGTTTGACGCCCTTCCGTCGCCACTTCGACCTTTGAGCGATCGCCAGAGGCACAAGGTAATGCTTCTTTATACCGGCCTCTATAGTCTCCAGCACCAGGGTCGAGGCCTCGTGAATGAAGGTCCTCGCTGACGCTGTACTGAATCCGGACACTTCGCTGAGGGATGATCTTTTTTTTGTATTTTTTTTTTCGTTGGCAACATTTTTATCATGCATTAGAAATTCACGGAAAAAATTCACTCATGCGAAATGAACGAAAAATAGGATGTAACAGTTAGAGAAGCAAAGTCAATTTCGATTAAAGCAATAATGAAAGAGTTATGCGGATATAAGAATAAATATAATAATAATATTGAACATGATTACAACCAGTGTTACCAGATTGCAGAGTGCCATTACCCCCAGCGTGAGAGTTCCAAATGAAAAAGAAGAGAAAAAAAATACACTCTTAGTGCGAATGTTACCATGTTTAAGTTTATGTTTAATATTTAAAAAAAAACAGGCAAGATTGCATTATTACTGTTAATATAGCTGTGTAGTTAGTGAAATATTATATGTGTAATTCATCAGTTAATAATGCAATTTCGCCACGCCTTTGACTTAAAACTAGATTTGAAGCGTAAAACCCAAGTTCTTAGATGAATCTATTCAGAATTTAACTAAATATAAAATTTAAATCATCAGCTAACGCTAAACGAATATAGACAACTGTCATCTGTCAAATTTGACGTTTGAACACAAGTGACATTGACAGAATTAAAGATAATCATTATAGAACCGATTTACTACTAGAAAGTAATCGTTTCAGATTCTCAATATACATAACTGACTCGGTGGTGCAATAGTCTGCGCTCCTAACTGTTGCGTCTATGGTCGTAGGTTCGATTCCCACGTCGGGCAAACATTGTGTGATGAACAAATTTGTTTGCTCTTTGTCTGGGTATTTATTATCTATATATATTTAAACGTATATAAGTATGTATGTCAATTTCTGGTACCCACAACGCAGGGCATCCCAAATTCGTGTGTGATTTGTTCCCAGTTATTTATATCTATTTTATTTATTTATTGCATAGATGGGTGGACGACCTCACAGCCCACCTGGTGTTTAGTGGTTACTGGAGCCCATAGACATCTACAACGTAAATGCGTCACCCACCTTGAGATATAAGTTCTAAGCTCTCAAGTATAGTTACAACGGCTGCCCCACCCTTCAAGCCGAAACGCATTACTGCTTCACGACAGAAATAGGCAGGGTGGTGGTACCTATCCGCGCGGACTCACAAGAGGTCCTACCACCAGTAATTCTATACTATTTATCTCTATCTAGATATCTATCTATATCTGCCCATCTTCGTTTATGAGAAACTTGTCATTTAATATTGATAGTTCTGCGTTAATTAACATTTCGATGCCTACCTCCTTGAAGTTCTGGATTCGTCTCCGGACTGCGCGGGAGAGGCGCCCGCCGAATACACGTTGCGGTTCGGTATTGCCAGTGCTTTTTCTAAAAATAACCATATAGTAGAAATCATACTTTTTTTTGTTCGCCATTAAATGGAAAAAATATAAAAAAACATGTCTAAATCTTAAATGAAGTCCAAAAACAGAGTAGCAATTCTTTGATGTTGCCTCCTAACCTCAGTTATCGCTGACTCTTAGTGGAGTCTGCTATTGAACCAACAATAATAAAATTGTTTAATAAAATATATAAGTGCAATGTGGTAGAAATAACAAATGCCATATTACCACACTCTATCGATCTATTTAGAGTGCATTTTTAATGCATCGTGTAACAATAGATAGCCTAAGGAGCTATAAGGAAGAGTGAGCACTGGTAAAAATACTGGTGGTTTTTACTGGTAGTAGGACCTCTTGTGAGTCTGCACAGATAGGTACCACCGCCCCACCTATTTCTGTCATGAAGTAGTAATGCGTTTCGGTTCAAAGGGTGGGGCAGACTTTGTACTGCAAAAGCTGAGACCTTAGAACTCATGTCTTGAGGTGGGTAGCAGCATTTACGTTGTAGATGTCCATGGGCTCCAGTAACCACTTAACACCAGGTGGGCTGTGAGCTCGTCCACCCACCTAAGCAATAAAAAAAAAGAAAAAGAAAACCTGCACAGGTAGGCGAGCTCACGGGCTCAACCTGAGAGAAATTGCTAACACTGGCCCTAGGAAGAGCAGTGATTCGCAGAATCTACCACCGTATCGGAAACGGGACCCACTTAAAAGATCTGTCCTCAAACTCAGTGGACTGTGTCTATGGGCTAGGTTGCGCGTCGAATTTGATGAGTACGATGAGCTTGGAGAGCCTAAAAGCACTGAAAGTAGATGTGGAAGATCCGAGGTCCGGATCCAGTAAGCACTTGTAGAAATACTAGTGGTTTTTACTGGTGGTAGGACCTCTTGTGACTCCACACGGGTAGGTACCACAACCCTGCCTATTTCTGCCGTGAAGCAGTAATGCGATTTGGTTCGAAGGGTAGGGCAGCCGTTGTATTGTAAAAACTGAGACCTTAGAACTCATATCTTAAACTGGGTGGCGGCATTTACCACCATTTACTTAATACCAGGTTGGCTGTAAGCTCGTCCACCCACCTAAGCAATAAAAAAGAGACTCCAGGAGGACTTGTTTGGAAGATGGCGAAAAATTAAACGTATTATAATCAATTACCATGAGAGTTCCTCTCGGCACTGACGCTACGCATCCTGTTCTGGGTCTCCAGTTCGGAGTCCGTCATCTCCAGTGACTGACCGCGAGTACGAGATCGACCCAGTCTGAAAATATATAGATTTTTCTACTAATGGTAGAATCTGTGTCGTTATGTTGGCAACACTGCATATGGCTTATTGAATCCAGTTTCACGATTAATCTTTTTTTGTTTTGCAGCGAAGGTGTTAGTCATTACCTTCTCTTGATAGTTCCGAAGAAATCTCTCCTCCTCTTCCTAGGAGCCGGCTCGGGGGACATGTTATCCGTCTGGTTATTCACGTAGCCTCCTTGCTGAGAGAAGAGAGGGGAGGATATCAGAACAGCAACACTATATCGGCTACGTTGACGCAACGTCTGGTATACCAATGCTGTACATGTAAAATTTATTTGAAATTATCTAGGCAGACACTTTTAAATGTAAGAAAGTACATGCTGATTTTTTAAGGACGTTTAAGTAGGTGTATGTACATAAGGTATACGAAAATCAGAAGCGTATTTTGCGTAATGTACATTTTGTCCGCGGACAAATAATAAGTCGGTTTGTGGAAGCGATGCTCTATTTTATTTATAGTCCGACCATTAATGATTTGTAGGAAATTATTAACATTTTTTAAAAAGACGCCAAAGTGGTTGGTTTTTTTTAAGGGATTCTATGACCTGGTAACTAAGACCTTTAAGTCATGTCTTATTTTAGTTTATGTTCTTATTTTTATGAAAAATTATAATATGGAGTGAAATGAAATGAAATGAAGATGATAGGAGATGAAATATAATCTGAGTAAAATGGTGGTCATTTATTGAGATTTTTTCAATGGACTTTTTGGAAAATCCCGAAAAGTGACGACCAGCGGCTTTGTTTCATTTTCCCACATTTGTGCACTTTCACAGATATTAAACGGTTAATAAACCACCATTATTACACATTTAAACTTGAAGAAACACTAAATAGACAAAATAAAACAAATCACACAACTACACTCCTCACGTTCCCGCCAAAAAGTCCAAAGAATACACTTCCAACCAAAGTGGTTGGTGCGTGATGGAATACACAGATAATGTAAAAAAAATGTCAATATCAAACGTCATATGCATTTCGTTTCACGCTATGTAAGTCTTGAACACACGTCAAATATGATAATAATCTTGAACATTCGTGAACACAATTGAAGTGAAATGTATGTGGGTTTTTTTGGAATAAACGACAAGACTACTGTTGCAAAATGTTACCGCACATATTACTACTATGGAAGAAACAGAGACCGCGTTTTACCGTGCCTATGAAACATATTAAAATACAGCCGCAAATCAGGGCAAAGAATAAAAATACACTTCTGATTTTAACAAAAAAAAAAAGGAATGGTGCATAAAACTTTACAAGATACAAATCGGTTAGTTTCATGAGCAATATGTGCTTACAATCAATTGGTCGTTGTTCAAATTAACTTTTTGCTAATAATCAATTTATTGAAGTTTATATCTTTAGAGGAACATTTAAAGATAAGTCAGATTATTATTTATTAGCATTTTTCATTACGTATGTATATGTATTTCTATGCTATGAAAAATTTTCCTCAAAATGTTCCCTAAAAAATTTGCTCTAAATACACATTGCCTCAGAAACTAACACTAAAGTTAATATATTAGTATAAAAACCACATTTAATGCATAATACTGACCGAATCATTGTTCTCTCCGTTGACTTTGTTACCGTTCTCTTTGATCCTTACACTTTTGCCGGGAGATTGGTTCGGGGTCACAGATTTTTTATCTGTAACCGCCTCTTCGATTTTATCTAATTGTTTCGCTTCCGTTTCCTGTTTGTCTATGGCGTCTGCGCGTTCGACTTCAATGAATTTCCCGGAGTCGGTTAGTTCGACCTTATAGGCGAATTTTTTTTTGTTAGTATGGCAACACTCCACTCTGGGTTTCTAATGCTGAACTATATAAATATCGAATCGTGTGACATAATGTTTGTTTTAAAATGCAGATAAAGCAAGACTTGTACATTGGATAATGACAATTGAAAAACATAAAAAAATATCGTAAGATATTTGAATATTGAGAAAAGTTTATCCCTATTTAGAAAAGGAGAGGGTAAGTTTTAATTTTTTTGAATTTCGTCATTGGACATCGCGTTCAGCTGCTTATAGTAAACTAGCGACCCACCCTCGCTTCGCTTCGGAAACATTAAAACACACATGAAACCAAAAAAAAAAAAAAATTAAAAAAAGTAGCCTATGTTCATCAGGGACAATGTCGGCTTCTAATGGAAAAAGAATTTTTCAAATCGGTCCAGTAGTTTCGGAGCCTATTCGAAACAAACAAACAAACAAATCTTTCCTCTTTATAATATTAGTATAGATAAACAAATAGTACACTGTTGTAGACACTTAAGTAATTTGGATTACCTTTGATTTACGCGACTATGTTTGTATGAGACTTTGAATCTATCAGCCTATCACGCTATCAACGAATTCAATAGAACTTCGCTCCAGTGGCGTGCTCACGAAGTGCCGTAAAATGGACCGCAAAAAAAAAATATTTTTCTTTTTCCGGAAAATATTCTAGTCTAGTGCAATATAATAATGTTAATTCTAGTGCGCCAGTGTTAGCAATTCTCTTAGGTTGAGCCGGTCAGCTCACCTACCCGTCCAAGCGTAGCTGCAATAGCCTCTTAGGCTTCTAGAGAATAGGAGGGGGGGGGGGGGAAGAAGTCAAACATGGGAACAGTGAGAGTCGCAAAACAACTTTCATCCAAACCCAGCCACGAATATCTAGTGTTTCATTAAAATTTCAACATTCTATTTAAGACTAACTCTATCTAAATGACTCCGCAGCTAATATGACATGTCATTTTAAAACAAACATCTTCTCAGATGACGATATAATGTTTGAAAAATTGCTATTTTTTATTTTCTTTTCAAAACTAATGAATATTTAAAATAACGGATCATGCAAAAAAAAGGAAAACAAATTCTCTATTATTATTTACTGAAGCAAACGTTTTGATTTTGTAGGACGATACGACTGACAGTTTAAGTTTTTTACGTACATACATATAAAAAAATATTGTGTATAGTTTGTTTGTTTGATTAAATCCAACGTAACTTCATAACCTATGGCAAGACTATTCGAAGGTTCGCCGGACTATAATAATACCGTTCGTATACTGATCGCAGTACACGGATAAAGCGGACAATATGCACGATTAAAAGTTTCCAGATATGTAACTACGTATCTTGAACCAACATAAGGCACGTTTACAAATTATCGTTAATAGTAAAGTATAAAAAAAAAATTGTGTGAGCAAAAAAAAAACAAAAATGTCAATTGTATCGTTCTAAATGCGCCGTACTATAGTCGCGTTCAACTCACCATTATAGACTTCTTTGGTTCCTGCCGTTATTGTTAGGATCACCCCAAACGAACGCACGATTGTGAAAAGAAAACATTTTAATTAACAATCAATTAAATCAAACTATAATACTTACATTAATTACAATTATGAGCTACAGTCTTTGAGTACTAGAATTAAACTAAAAATATATAATCTTAAGAGTTCTATAACTTTATATTACTGGAAGCCGAATACGGTTGCTTACTAAACACATTAAAACGTCATTCGAATACCCAAAACTGACGGCTCTCACATTTGACGGCTGTCACATTTGACAGCTGTCAAGTTAGTGTTGCAAGCATGTGTAATTTATAACGTACTCTCTGCACCGAGTGTATGATGAGGGTGGACTTGTTGGCGGCACCCGTCGGACTGAGCTCCAGCTCCCGAAGTGCGGACTCCGTCAGCTTAGAGTTGTCCTGTGCTGGTATCCCTGTGGAAAAATATTAACGAGCATTGATTATTTTTTATTGCCAAGATGGGTGGAAGATCTCATGTCCCACCCGGTATTAAATGGTTACCGGAGCCCATAGACATCAACAACGATAACTCCGGCGCCCATCTTGAGACATGAGTTCTAAGTCTCAGTTTTAACAGTACAACGACTGCCCCAGCCTTCAAGCCGAAACGCATTACTGCTTCACGGCAGAAACAGGCAGAGCGGTGGTACTTACCCGTGCGGACTCACAAGGCGTCCTACCATCAGTAAAAAGAAACTTCCCTACTCCTAATAAAGAAGCATTAAGTTATGATATACCTAAGTGTTTTCTATTTCTTTAACCAATTGTTAAGAAGAATATCAAAATTAGGCCTGTGATGTCATCCTCATAGCCGACTCAGAGTAAGATGTTGCAAAAGAAAGCTATAAAATTTAGAGAGGCCACGAGATGTAATCTTAAGCCGTTTCTCAATTTAAATCGTGACGTCATTTGGGTGTAACATATTTCCATAACTGAACGATGTTAAATCGAATTCGATTATATTTACCGTTCTGATGGAAGGTGGTCTTGGTAGTGGTGGTGAGTTGGCCGTGGGGGGACACGGTCCTGAGGCTCTCCTTGATTTTGACGGGTCTGGAGCCGAAGTCCGGGATGTCGGGGCCGTCGATGAAGAGGAACTGTTCGAATTTCATATTCTTTATTGCTAGTGTAGGGGAATGATACCCCGCCCCGCTTAGCTTACTAAGCATTTATAGTAATGAGCAACAAACGTTTAGCAGTCAGTGGTCAACGTGCAGCGATCATATAATTATAGTCAGTGTTTTATTGACCACTCTGATGAGGTTTCCGGAGGAGAGTGCACAGTAAACCCTCAACATCACGAAACCTCACACTGACGACCCGAAACACCGTGGAGGGGAGCTCATTCCAAAGCCGGATGGTTCGTTCTTTTATTCAATATACTTTTCGTGGTGTGGGGTGTTGGAATCCATAGAGAGCACAGTACGTACGCCATCGAAGTATTAATCATACACCGGCTGCCACACCTTTCGAACCGCAACGCATTACTGCTCCACGGCAGAAATGGGCAGGGTGGTAGCTACCCGTGCGGACTCATAACACTCCCTACCACCAGCAATATTAGGGGCAGGAGAATTTGAGGTATCTGTTGAGTCTCATAGGACAGAACGCAACATTCTGACCCTAATCAGCTAATTTGATCTGATCATGGTGATTTGATTAGAACTGAGTTGATAAATGTCTTTAATTTCTTTTTTTTATGGCTTAGATAGGCAGACCAGTTCACGGTTTATCTGCTATAAGTGGTTACCGGAGTCCATAGACAACGTAAATGCCGCCACCCACCTCGAGACATGAGTTATAAGATCTTTTAATAGTACAGTCAGAGGAAGTGTGAAAGTACCCCCGGTAATTAACAAATTAAAGAGCGGACGGTTAGCGTGGTGTGGACATGTGATGCGTAGAGAGAAGATGCATGTGACTAGAAGATGTATGGAAATGGTAGTGGGAGGTAGAGAGGGAAGAGGTCGACCGAAGAAGACATGGATGGAGTGTGTGAATGACGATATGAGAGAGAGAGGAGTGAGTGTTGAGATGACGGCTAATAAAGGAGAATGGAATAGAAAAAAATTGCTGTTCTAACTCCGCCCTTTTTTTTGTTGCTTAGATGGGTGGATGAGCTCACAGCCCACCTGGTGTTAAATGATTACTGGAGCTCATAGACATCTACAACGCCACCCATCTTGAGATAAGGTCTCAGCATAGTTACAACGGCTGCCTCACCCTTCAAACCGAAACGCATTACTGCTTCACGGCAGAAATAGTCAGGGCGGTGGTACCTACCCGTGCTGACTCACAAGAGGTCCTACCACCAGTAAAAACATATATAATCCGCCTAGTGTGATAAGGTGGAGATAAAAAAGAAGAGTCAGAATCAATAGCACACCTCGACGGTGAGGGTGCCGCTGACGTCGTGTTGTTCCATCGGCCTGGTCTGCAGAGCCAGCTGTTGTCTCTGGGAGGGCGCCGCCAACAGTTCGTCAATACCGACCAAGCCCAGACCTAAGAACCTGCAATACGTAACTTAACCAATTGCCGTTCCCTTCGGTTTGAGTCGTACACGTAATTATAAACACTACTGGTCCCCCAGTAGCCGAAATTCGACAATAATTAATTGAAATTATGAGTTCGAACATTATTATGGTTCTATTGTCAAAGACTATTAATTTTTTTTTTATTGCTTACGTAGGAGGACGACCCCACACAGCCCACCTGGTGTTAAGTGGTTACCGGAATCCATAGACATCTACATCTACAAATGCGCCACCCACCTTGAGGTACAAGTTCTAAGGTCTCAGTATAGTTACAACGGCTGCCCCGCCCTTCGAACTGAAACGCATTACTGCTTCACGGCAGAAATAGGCAGAATGGTGGTACCTACCCGCGCAGACTCACAAGAGGTCCTACCGCCAGTAATAACACAAATTATAATTTTTGCGGGTTTGATTATTATTAATTTATTATTATTTTCATTACAAAAATCGGTACCCGCCTGCGGGATTCGAACAGTGCATCGTTACACACGAATGCACCGGACGTCTTATCCTTTAGGCCACGACGACTTAAGTTGCCGAAGTTCGTCAAGTTGCCTCTCAAACTTCAGCATGCTGACGGCTGACGGCACGGTGTCTGCTCGTGGGACACATGTGCTCCCCCAACCTCCCCCCACTAAGCTCCATCTCCATCATCAACGTACCTGTGCTGCGAGGATCCGCCTCCCGGGGACGGGGGCCCGGTCCGGTCGTAGACCTCGAAAAGTAATTCCGCGGTCTGCGGAGACAGGTCGCTGGAACGAAGGGTTAGATTTCAAGGTCACCGTGACGGACAACGGAGGTACGTACGAAAAAGTGATCCCAATGGCATTGACATTAAATACTATCGTGTTATATTAACGAGTCGACTGCCGTGTAGGGCACCGGTGACCTACGCTGCAGTCAAAGGGTTAAAGTATCTTATTTAACCAATTTAGATCAAATCAAAGTACGTTTAAAAACCGAAACATGAAAATGAAAAGGATGTAGGTAGTTTCATTACGGATACAGATTATATTATACGAAGCTTATGCTGTATAGTTTGACGTTATACAGCGACATCTAGCGACGCAAGATTGTACTAGAACATACAGCCCTTTTATTTCGTTACGTACTACTAGATGGCGCTGTAACAGTCCATTAACATTACCGAGAGATTGTATATGAAAGTGAACGGACTTATTGTCTTCTCGCATTAAAACTGCATAATCTCAAAACTTACTAAATTTTACAGGAGAGTGTTTTAAAGGTTCAATATAATATATGATATTTTTAATAATAATGATCTTTGCAACATTTATTTTTTGTTTTTACCAGTTACATTATCTGTTTTTAAAGTAACTTAAACTTATGTATTAATTTAGTTAATAGTAGTCAAAACAAAAGTAAACTAAAAAAAAAACTGAAACTAAACTACGCTCTTTGGACATTATTTATGAGAAAAATACTGGTGATACCAAATGATTCCGCATATTAACTCAATTTCGAATATTTTTGGAAATTGTACACTTATAATGCGAAAAGACGATATGTGCAAGGCAGAGCTTTCGCTACTGCTAGTGCCGCTGCGTACATCGTATAGGAATTAACAAATTATAACTCACAACAAAAAGTGTTCGTCCCACTGAGGACTCGTGGTTTCCTTCTTGAAGCCGGTTTGGTTCTTCTGAGGAGGCTCATCCATCTCCACCACGCAGTACGGTGCTATGCACCCAGTTTTACCTGCAAATAAAAGGCTACAAATTTACAGTTGAAAACAGCGCCATCTATCGACGTTTGAAAGCCCGAATTACAATTCACACTGGACCACACTAACTGGTTTTCAGTCTGGCGTTCAACGTGTTAAAAGTAGCTTTAAATTGTGTATCACCATCGTCCAGGGTCGGCGTGACACAAGTGACATTACCACGATTCATTCCCACAATCAACGACACGACATCGCATCGTACTCTATAAATTGGATTTGTAAACGACTTTTTGTGTACTCCCGCATTAAAAAAGTGGCATTGGTAAGTCTCCCACTGATGAGACGCACGATATTACGGTACTATGGCGTCTCACCTCCCAAGTCCTTGGCACCGACGATCTTGACCAGCAACCTCTTGTCTCCGAGTAGACCGCTGCCGGCCGCTGAGTTCGGAGTCGAGGTGTACATGTGACGGTCGTGCTGTAACTGGCGCATGGAATATGGTCACGGCGGTGAGGCGGCCTGGTCTAATACGCCGACCTCAAATAACCAAAAGGTTATGTAGTCGTCGTGTCCTAAAGGATAAGACGTCCGGTGCATTCGTGTTGAGCAATGCACCGGTGTTCGAATTTCAGGCGGGTACCAATTTTTCTAATGAAATACGTTGAGTACAAATGTTCACGATTGACTTCCACGGTGAAGGAATAACATCGTGTAATAAAAATGAAACCCGCAAAATTATAATTTGTGTAATTACTGGTGGTAGGACCTCTTGTGAGTCCGCGCGGGTAGGTACCACCACCCTGCCTATTTCTGCCGTGAAGCAGTAATTTTATTAAGCGTTTCGGTTGAAAGTGTGGGGCAGCCGTTGTACTTGAAACCTTAGAACTCATATATCAAGGTGGGTGGCGCATTTACGTTGTAGATGTCTAAGGGCTCCAGTAACCACTTAACACCAGGTGGACTGTGAGCTCGTCCAGTCATCTAAGCAATATAAAAAAAAAAACGAAAGGTCCCGTAGAACGCCCTAACACATAAATTGCTTTGCGAGTCCCATTTTTATATGTGGTAACGTTCTGATTATACAATTGAAATACTATATTTACTTACGTATTTCATTATTTAAAACAATAGAATGAGGTCTTCATTGGTTTATGAGTCAAGAGAATGTTGATCATCAGTTATCAGAGAGTGAATTCGAAAAAAAGAGGCGGTTCACAATTTGAGACAATTTTTTGTGTTTTATTGTGTAGCGCCATAATTTTTATTCGAGATGATTCTTTAGTTTGATATCTGGTGCCTCTCATATGGACCTATTAATTCTTTAGCAAGATTCGAAGAGTAATTTTTGAGTTACCCTTAATGATGCATACTTAATTAACTTCGACCACATTAATTATGCTCTCGTTATGTTTTGCATAATCCTGTTGTATTTTTTGGGTAGAATATGGTATTGGCTCTTTGTTTACATCCAATAGGCCGGATCGCAAGTTCTCCGGCCCTATTGTTCTAATGGGCAAGACAATGACTGCCGGCATTACTTGGGGCGATGTTAAGGATCAAGACAGGGTGAAGTTGTCTCCACTTGTGAGGACCCTATGTACCAGTGAAGTAGCCTAGGACGACAACAACTGTTCTGGTAAATTTAGCTGTCTGTCTAATTGGAGAATTACAAACCGAATAAGTCAAGTATACGGCAGTTCACGGTATCTAGTTCTGACGCATGTTCTCCCCAGCAAGTATGTAGTACATTGGCCGGTTTTAAAGTGATAACAACATAGCGCTTTTACGTCACGAAGTCGCATAGGTCTGTCATTAAAGCCATTGAAATGAGGTTTACTTTACCTAAGTACCTCGAGGAAGGTTTCCTTTACTCAAGTCCCTCGAGGTTTCATACTCTAAATCATTAGACTGAGCTGTTAAAAATTATTGAAACGAACAAATAAATATGGGGTTTTTATCGTCATTCAAAGTCTTTCAAAAGTTTTGGCTATCAGAAAATTAGCGCAAGATTTGCAACTTGGACCAGCAATATCGTACTCACCATGGAATCATAGTGCAGGGGTAGGCGTGAGGATGTCTCAACGTACCGTCTCAGCCTAGGACAGGTCGGGTATTGAGACAGATTAAACTGCAGGTGGGAATTTCTTAAGGCATTCACGACAATGTCACTGGAAAGAGGAAATTTAGATTACTTTTTTATGACATCCAAGAACATAGAACTTTCATTTTAATTGCGATGGAAAACTGGATGATTTTATCACTATCTGTCTTGTGCGACAAACCCCGTCATAAGTAGCATTGCGGTTTACAATGTCTATACCCATAGACCTCCCCTGATCTCCTGATGGCAACCCCACCTGGTAGAAAATAAACAGAAAAGCAGATTTCGTTATCTCACTCGTCTTCCTAATGCAAATGCCAATTTATTTGGAACTTCCTCCTTAAGAATGTTTATTATTTAAAGTCCCCGCTAATTAATATTCATTGGTAGTAAAATAGAGTGGAAACAATAAAGCATTATGTTTTTCATTCAAATATACATACCACAATTAAACATCAAAGTGCATTGTATCAAATTGCTACGGACTCGTGTTGCAGAGCCGTAGGAAGCTGCTTGAGACAACATGATAAGTGACCCAGTATTAAAATTACCTGATCAACTGCTGTAGGTTGGATTCAGTGGCGTTCGGCCTCAAAGGACCGACCGGCGCCAGTGCCACTTTGACTTCTGGCCACCCGTCAAACTTGAGGTCTCCTGTGAGCTTATCTGTCACGCAGACCACGTTGAGGCGGGCGCGGAACCTGACGGTAAAGGATGTTGGAGTTTCTGAAAACGGTCTCGCAGCAAACAAACGTACAGTGCAAATTGGGATGCATGATCTGTGTTAGGCATCCCAGGTGCCCCACCCTTCAAACCGAAACGCATTACTGCTTCACGGCAGAAATAAGCAGGGTGGTGGTACCTACCCGCGCGGACTCACAAGAGGTCCTACCACCAGTAATTACGCAAATTATAATTTTGCGGGTTTCATTTTTATTACACAATGTTATTCCTTCACCATGGAAATCAATCGTGAACATTTGTTGAGTACGTATTTCATTAGAAAAATTGGTACCCGCCTAAGATTCGAACACCGGTGCATCGCTCAGCACGAATGCACCGGACGTCTTATCCGTTAGGCCAAAACGACTTCAAGGTCGCATCGGGGTCCTAAAAATACCCCCCAAACACTAGTAAATGCGGTTTGCCGATAGCAGTATAGTGCCACACATTCTGCAGGCATTCGGTCAACTTTACCACAGCCACGTAAGTTTATGGGGCGGTGGAGTATTAAATATTCAAGGAGGTTTTTTCTTTATCATCATATTGGCTGCCTTAAAAACGACCGGCACTATATAGTGCGTGTGGGGGAGGAGTGGTTACCGTCGCCCATGGACTTCAGCAATGCCAGGGGCAGAGCCAAGCCGTTGCCTACCGCATAATACTCTCCACAAGCCTCGTTTGAAGAAGGACATGTCATAGCGCTCGAGAAACACCATGGAGGGGAGCTCATTTCATAGCCGGATGGTACGTGGCAAAATAGACCTCTGGAAATGCACTGTCGATGAACGCAGCGGTTCCAGATAATCTACATCACCTTTGGCTGCCCTGTCGAGTCCGTCTCTTGGTAAACACTGACCTATTCACGTTGACTCTGTAGTGTGACACTTCCACCTTCTCCCCTCGCTGACTGAAGGCTTTCACTTGAAACGCTGGAGTGGCTTCACAGTCGCAGGTTATCGTCTGGAAAATTAATTCGAACATTATTGCGAGCTATCTGCGGTTAAGCGCTTTCTTGATCACGACTAATTCTCCCTCCTGGCTTGCCCACCTGACCTAATGAATTTGGAAAGGCCATCGGGCCATAAGTAAGCCATCATTTCTAAAAAAAAAACTACTTATCTTCTCGAAGAACTCCGCCAATACTTTTGTTTCCTACCTATGCTGAGATATATAGCCTTGAGAGCCTATTTCAGATTCTCCTTGACGTGTAGGTGAGCTCACGGGCCTCTAACCGGGAGTGTTGCTAACACTGGCCCTAGCAAGAGCAGTGCTTCGCAGAATCTACTACCGGATCGGAAACGCGATCCATTGAGAAAATACGGCGAGAAACGCAGTTGGCTGTGTCTGTGGGTTAATTTGCTCGTCGAGCCCTTCGTCGCAAGCGACGGGTTCGACGAGGACGGTGACCGGTGCTTGTGGTACGTTAAAGAACCGTTAAGGATCGGTAGTACTGTCGTTCTTGGATGCGATTTATATACAAAGCCGTTGTGACCTAAAGGATAACAAGTCCGACTTACACTGATTGTGATTTAGCACCATGATTGTGCCCTAGTTCGGATCCCGCAGGATGGTACGAATATTTCGAATGAAATACGTTTTCTTTTATTTTTTTTTGACTACTGTCATTCGTTTAGACTACAATCAGGTGAGTTGCGAGACGTCCCGGTTTGGCAAAAACGCAAGAACTCTTGATAGCAATTAACGAGTTCGACAAGGACGGTGACCGGTGCTGGCAGAGTCTAAAAGCACCGAGATTGGATCCGGGTGATCCAACAAGACAGATTTCGAACAACGGCGGTTTTGGGTTGCTCCGTCGCCCATTTTTTTTCCTTAGATGGGTGGACGAGCTCACAGCCCACCTGATGTTAAGTGGTTACTGGAGCCCATAGACATCTACGACGTAAATGCGCCACCCACCTTGAGATATCAGTTCGAAAATCTCAGTATAGTTACAACGGCTGCCTCGCCCTTCATACCGAAACGCATTACTGCTTCACGGCAGAAATAGGCAGGGTGGTGGTACCTACCCGTGCGGACTCACAACAGGCCCTAGCACCGTAAAACCGTACCACCTAAACCTAGTAAAAAATAGTCGGATATTGCCTATGAAATCATCCCACTTACCACGTCATCCTTGGAGTCACACTCGCTGAATACATTCGATATATTGGGCGGGTGGCTGTCCAACGCTCGTACTATCTCCACGCCGATTCCTTGCTGAAACAACGAAAACGACCCAATTACAAAACAAAAAAAAAAACAACAACCAAGACACAATTACAACGCGTCACCGTGTAATTAAAAAATGTCGAAATACCAATAAATAACATAAGATACTGTTAGGTCATTTTGTGTAAGATATATCAATAAATATATCTATAGTAGCTGACCTAGGCAGACTTCGTAGTGCCTCAATCGATAAATTAAATACCTAAACTTTTGTATAAAATAAACTTAAAACAAACAAAAGGAATCCGTCTGACGGGGGATACATCAAAGAAAAAACAAAATTGTTATTTTTATTTAATTCCGAGTATTTTCATATTTATCTAACCTTTTAAACCTTCTCTGGACCTCCACAAATAATTCAAGACCAAAATTAGCCAAATCGGTCCAGCCGTTCTCGAGTTTTAGCGAGACTAATGAACAGCAATTCATTTTTATATATATAGATATAGGTATCAAAGGGTGAAAGGCTTAAGCGACACTTCGTTTAATACGCGACATTTATCTTTGTAACTAAATACGCGTTTTAATTGGTATTAGCATCAACAGTTCAATGTTTTTATTGAACTTCAATTAACTTTACTGCATTGAAATAGCTAGTTTTTTTTTTTGTTATGATATCTTTTTCTAAATTAAACTTGTAATTAATAGGAGATCCCTGCAAAGTTGTAAAAAGGTGGTCTATACCAAATAGCCACTCCTCCATATACATATAAGTGTTTTTTTTTTTATTGCCTTTGTAGGCAGACGGGCATACGGCCCACCTGATGGTGAGTGGTTACCGTCGCCCATGGAATTCAGCAATGCCAGGGGCAGAGCCAAGCCGCTGCCTACCGCTTAATACTCTCCACAAGCCTCGTTTGAAGAAGGACATGTCACAGCGCTCGGGAAACACCGTATGTCCATGTGTATATTGACTATGTTCCCTACTAGCTCAGGGACGGTTAGACAGATTTTGTTCTTTTCGGGAGTTCCGTTTGGCCTTACCCTGTTGATAGTTCAAGTTTGGGTGGCGATGGGATCATGGCCAAAACAAAGACGGGTCAGCGGGCCGAGTTTGACTATATTTGTTGTTGTTAGGAGATTTTATGACCTGGTAAGTGAGACCTTTAAGTCATGTCTTATTTTAATTTATATTATTCATGTTTTTATGAAAAGTGATATTATGGAGTGAAATGAAATGAAGATTATTAATTTGAAACACTAATCAACTAGGATGAAATTAAATGAAATGAATTGAGATGATATGGGATGAAATATAATCTCAGTAAAATGGTAGTCATTTACTAAGATTTTTTCAGTAGACTTTTTGGAGGATCCCGAGAAATTACGTCCAGCGGCTTTGTTTCATTTTCCCACATTTGTGCACTTTCACAGATATTAAACAGTTAATAAACCACCATTATTACACATTTAAACCCGAAGAAACACTAAATAGACAAAATAAAACAAATCACACAACTTCACTCCTCGCGTTCCCGCCAAAAAGTCCTGACTCTATATACAAGTCAGAGATAATCAATTTACGCGGATATGCGACGTCACTTATTTTGTTTTAATGGCAACACAGCACAACATGGCTGACGTCTTATAAGTTATCAGTTGTCAATGTCAAGGTATCTATCTGTCAGTAGTGCGTGTGAGCGTCGGGGACAACTGCAAAGACGCACAATGACTGATTAACCTAAAATACATCGTGCGACAATCGTGGCCAATTAGATGGCTATTCTTTGGAATCTGCGACACTTCTCCGACAAACCTAATTATATAGTTCCTCGACAAACCTAATTATATAGTTCCTATCACTTTTCTCGTGACACCTCTAGTTTATTTATTATTGACTAGCGACCCGCCCTCGCTTCGCTTCGGAAACATAAAATTTTATTATTGATAGTTGAGTCTCGCGATGTTACCCGCGGTTATTGTCGTACCGCGGGTGACGCCGCGGGACGAAGCTAGTCTAAAAAAAGTAGCTTAAGTTACTCCTTATATTATAAGCCACCTGTCAGTGAAAGTCCCGTCAAAATCGGTCCAGCCGTTCCAGAGATTAGCCGGAACAAACAGACAGACAGACAGACAGAGACAAAAATTGTAAAAAATGTTATTTTGGTGTATGTACCGTATATATATATTCATATGCATGTAGTAAAAAGCGGTTATTTCAATATTACAAACAGACACTCCAATTTTATTTATATGTATAGATTAATAAATCAACTATCCAAATCGATAACACGAAATTCATTTCTCTGCCAAACTGAAACACGTATGGAGGTGACGACGGTAAACAGAATAAGGGATAAAGGGAAGGTCTTCCATCGAATGAGTGGAATTGTTCGATGAACTAACGACCCGATTGACCTACCTTCAGACATAAGTTCTCTAAGTTCCAGTTTTTACGACTACACCACCGTTGAAGCCGAAAAGCATTACTTTTTTTTTCCTTAGATGGGTGGACGAGCTCACAGCCCACCTGGTGTTAAGTGGTTACTGGAGCCCATAGACATCTACAACGTAAATGCACCACCCACCTTGAGACATAAGTTCTAAGGTCTCAGTACAATTACAACGGCTGCCCTGCCCTTCAAACCGAAACGCATTACTGCTTCACGGCAGAAATAGGCAGGGTGGTGGTACCTACCCGCACGGACTCACAAGAAGTAGACTGTAGTTACTGCTTCGCGGTATAAATAGGCTGGGTGTTGGTACGTACGGTCTCACAAACATCCCACCACGAGTATCACAATAGGTTGAGACATGCATCAAGGTGATAGCTAGAATCCATCCTGCATTGACCGTGGACTTCAGTGTACACTTGCTTTCACGAAAACGTCGGCAGCTTTGTACTAGTTATATGTGATTCCATGAAGCGATACACTATATCAACTTGTATAGTATTTGGAATTGTATAGGAATTGTCGCTAAATTCGGTAATAAAAATTTAAATCAGGTCAAAGGAATCAGTGCATGACAGTGCAGTTATCGTGCGGAAACTTAGTGTTTTCAATGACATGAGACACGTACTCAACAAATGTTCACGATTGACTTCCACGGTGAAGGAATAACATCGTATAATAAAAATCAAACCCGCAAAATTATAATTTGCGTAATTACTGGTGGTAGAACCTCTTGTGAGTCCGCGCGGGTAGGTACCACCACCCTGCCTATTTCTGCCGTGAAGCAGTAATGCGTAACTATACTGAGATTTTCGAACTTATATCTCAAGGTGGGTGGCGCATTTTCGTTGTAGATAGATGTCTATGGGCTCCAGTAACTACTCAATACCAGGTGGGCTTTGAGCTCGTCTACCCATCTAAGCGATAAAAAAAAACATACAGTACCCGACGATAAATATTGCACATCGCCGTTCGGAAAGAGACAATCGGCTGATTTCGGCCTCGTATAGCGTTATCTCTGTCGCACACTACCTATGTGACTTTTGTTAGTCGTCGTTCAACTGCGGTAGCGTACGGTCATAACGGATAGCGGACTGCTAGTGTTTCATGCGACATAGATAACGCTATACAATACTGAATATCTCGTTCCAAAGGTCTATGTCAAATATTTATCGTCAGTAGGTATTTTATAGCTTAAAGATGACCGAAACTTCTGCCCCGGATCTACCGACATATTTCTGGCGTGAAACATCCATACATTTGGTTTAAGAATAGACAACCACTTTACGAAATCTATCTACCGTCTACCATCGCTACTCGAGTTTGTCTTAATATGTGACCATTGATTTTTGCGGACTCCGGAAACGTTTCCAACCAGTTATCCCGTGAGCTTCGTTGGAAGATTGGAGATTGATTACGACCGTCCAATCGACACTAAATATCCCGGGAGCTCGGTCAAATCTAAAATCTAGCGCCATTTTTGCATGACACCGTCCTCATTAAATTGTTTTTATTATTATAGCAGATAAGCATTCATGATTACACGTGAAGGTCGTGGGAATCGAAACTGTTTTGTACTTCATTTTATAATACCATGACTTCACCGGTTATGTTGAAAATTGACGTTAAATAAAATAACTTTACATATAATATTCTCTACGGTTTACGCGAATCGTATACATAAAATCGTAGAATTAAAGGTAGCTTTAAGGTTTTACAGCAAATATAATGTTTTTGTATCGTTCGGAAATTATATTATAAATAGTGACGATAAAAAAAAAAAAAAACCCTTAAAGAGATTAAACCGTAAAAACAGTTTTAATTGTAACTATTGTTACGCCGGTAAGAATAACGCCATCTATCGCCGAATAGTCGAACGAATATAGGAAGATCTAGTGGATAGCACCTAGAACGCTCGAGAAGTACAACGCCATCTATTTTTTTTTTTATTGCTTAGATTGGTGGACTAGCTCACAGCCCACCTGGTGTTAAGTGGTTACTGGAGCCCATAGACATCTACAACGTAAATGTGCCACCCACCTTGAGATATAAGTTCTAAGGTCTCAGTATAGTTACAACGGCTGCCCCGCCCTTCAAACCGAAACGCATTACTGCTTCACGGCAGAAATAGGCAGGGTGGTAGTACATACCCGTGCGGACTCACAAGAGGTCCTACCATCAGTAATTATATTGTATACTATTGTCAGATAGCAGAAACACAATACTAGAAATGTGTGGAATATTCTCGATAATTCCAAGGATGTGGTATCGGCTATAAAAGCGTTGCAGAGATAGTACACAGTCAATCAATAATCGGAACTACTCGAAGCGAAACAGCGAACGGATCACCTGAAGCGAAGCGAAAGAAGCGATTGAGAATTTTAAAGTGTTTGTGAAGTGTTTTAAGGGTTCTAAGTGTTGAATACAGTTTTAAGTTGTACTTTGATAGAACATTTCTTTACCCGAACCCCAGCGCGTAACTCTATTATTAATGTGTTTAATTTTTACCATCGTTAATAGGCAACCGAGTTTATTATACAGTTGTTTGATGGTCATTGAAGTAAACATACCTATTATAAGTGTAATTTACATGGA